ACGGATATGTATATCTCCAATAGAATGGACTAGAATGATTGATAGTTTAAAGAATGCAATGAGCAGCATGGAGCCTAACATTGCATATGCAGTGGTCGCACTTAGCAAATATACAAGTTGCCTTAGTCGAGAGCACTGGGATACCACATTTCATATGAAGGACCTATCAACTATGGCATATATTATGTGGGTTATCTCGAGGTGTTGGAAAGATATAGTAATGCAAACAGGAACATGGAAGTCCAAGTTCTACTACATCCAGATGAATTTTTACTTTAGTTGGGGAAGCGATATTATTGGGGTCAACTAAGCAAACTTGTATTTTACGCTCTATAATGGAGTTGAAATTTATTGCTTTAGATTCTGCTTGTGAAGAAACAATTTCAGAACATTTTATATGACCTACCAACATAGCTAAAATCGATATGGCAATCACAAAATATTGTTATAATCATGCTACTATTACGAGATCATATAATGATGTACACATTAATAAATCTACACACATTGCCCGTAAACATAAATTCATAGAAAAATTAATAAGAGATGAAGTGGTAAGTCTAGAATATGTGAAGTCCAAGGAAAATTTAACTAGTCCTTCGATAAAAAGCTTGATAAGAGATCACATTGAAACAATGTAAAGGAAAATGAGGTTAGAGTCTATATTGTAATCATCTAGAGTAGAAACCCAACCTAGTATCTAGTAACATCTAGATTATAGGTTCAATGCGGTAATAACAAATTATATGTATGATTAATTTGATTGCTAGATGAATAATTATTTTAAGCACCGATTCATTATAGGGAAAATATCTCCATACCCTTTATTTTTAGGTTTTATTTCACAATAGACCCAAGGTTTTAAGAGATATCTTGAGGCATAAAAATTGTAGATTTTATTTCTTTTAACCCCCTAAGCTAATTTAAACATGTTTTTTTAAGCCAAACAAATCTAAAAAGACGCGTCTTTTCTAAAAGTCATCCTCACAAACTTCTAGATAGAGAGAAGCGCTTCACAGATGTGAGAGGTTACCGGGAGGAGAGAGAGGTGTTTGGAGAAACAGGACAGAGAATGAAAGAGATGTACGAAGAGAGAGAAAGAGAGAAGTTTGGGGTATATAAGTGAAGAGAGAGAAAGGATTGAGTTTAGAAATAACATGTCTTTCTCACATTTATTTAAGTTAAAAAATAGGTTTAAAGTGGCTAGGGGGTTAGAATATATCTTTTGAAACCTTAAGTTTATCAAGAAATGAAACCTAAAAATAAGAGATATGGAGATATTTTTCCTTCATTATATTGAAATCCATATTGTGGATAAGTCTTGCAATGATTTGTAAGTAGTAGGTTGAGTTAAGCTCTTAATGATATATATGAACTTATTATAAGTTGGAGTGTTTTAAATACACGAGTACTCTTGATGGATACACCTATATAACTGTGGAACTGAGGCTACTGTCTCAACTGGGATATAGGCACAAGACCTTAAATGTGTTGACAATTAAAGACATCAGAGATGTATAATATTTGTAAGTTATACTACCGATTTGTTGGATAACTTATGTGGTTCAAGGCTATAAGCTACCATAAAACTTGACAAACTTTGTGTCTATATTCCAAGTGAAGGTTCAAACTGAAAGATGCTTTCGTGGTATGCTAATATCATACGGTTGCCTTTTTTATATATATTATTTGAAATGGTGGAGGAAATGTTAATAAATTAGTATTGCAAATTACTATAGAGTATTTCAAAATAATATAGCAATTAGTGTTGTTTTTTCTACAGTTTTAAATAAATAGAGAAAGAAAATGGTAGGGTTTTAGGCCCTCATTGAAGAGTAAAGTGTGGAAAGAAGGATTTTTATATATGAATGCTCTTAGGCCTTAAGTTCATAGAACAAAGGTGTTAATGTGGGAGAATGTGCAGAGCGTGTGTGCATGTGCGATGGCGTAAAGGTGCTTGATGGCGCATTTTGTACTTCATATGCTCGCATCAGTGCATGAGACACCCCTTGTCCGAGCACGTGTACAAGTCCGACTCAAGGCTCAATTCAATTTTGCATGACGCAACTCGTGCCCACACGTGTGCACGGAGGGGGTGCGAGCGGGACATGTATAAGATCCAACGGCTAAAACACTAACCGTTGAGACAACAGTTGACAACTATTGGATGGAAGCTGTTAGAAACCCAATAGTCACATGTCAAGTGAACAATAGTGAATGTTCATAGGACCGATCACCTTAACAACAACTATTCACGTTTTAAAAAGGGTTTTTTACTCCATTTTTTTAACTACATTTTTACCAATTTGATTTCCTCGCTTTCTCTCTCAACAATTTCCTACTGACTTTCTGTCTCTAAAAATTCAAAAATGTGTCATTTTCTCTCGCTACATTCAGGCAAAGTCACTAAAAAATCAAAAATGTGTCATTTTCTCTCGCTACATTCAGGCAACTCTGATGCTTAGTAAACTTGCTTATACTGCACAAAATTAAGCGAGTATTTTTAGTGACTTTCTATTTCCAGATAATTCGATGACTAATTTACCTAGTTATCTTTTGCAAACGGTTACTCTACAGTAGTGAGAAAATTAAGCGCATCTATTGAGTTATAAACAGGAAAGTCCACATTCTTTTAATTTGTTGTTTTACTATATACTCCAACCTCTATTTCACCCAATTTATTTTCCAACAATACATACCTATTTAGGTATATATCCACTTTCTCATATATGAACTATCCTGTGTGATGGCTCCTTTTCGAAGAGAACTTCCGTACTAATGAAACCGCCTTGTATGAACGAAACGGACTCCTCAAGCCGTAGAGAACTCTGATATCCATTATTTGAGAATGTCCCCCAAAAATATCATTATTATTCATTACCTCTTTCTTATTTGGGTGTGGTTTCTCTAAGGTTGTAACTTTAACCAATCCAATTAAGGCGTACCTTCAAATTTGGTCGTAATTTTGACATAAAAAATTCTTAGAATTATTTAAGAATCTATTTTCATCTATAATTATAAAATTTTAAACTCCAAACATTATTAAAATCTAGTAAATCTATAAACCATATGAAAATCTTGAAAATTGACAATTTAGATAATGTGTTGCAAGATGCACTATTTTTGGGACTAAAAATCTAGTTTATTTTATTTTTTTATATTCATACATCTCGATGTCAAGACGATCAATTAGAGAGTTTTTCAACGTAAAATAGATAGATTTTTTAGGTGTATCTTTAATTCTATATTTTAAGGTTGCAACCTCAAATAAACTTTTTCCCTTTTTACTTTTAAAATTTTTTCCAAATTGCTACTTCCAAAGTTGCCCAAAACCTCAACTTTGGATCCAATTGAGGTTTTCTCGTTAAAATAATTTGGATTTGATGATCCCAAGTTGACAACTTCAAATCCTGAGACTGAAAAATATTAACTTAAGACCTTCTTAAGTCTTTAAAGGTCGAAAGTTGTCAGTAACCTCAAACTTAACTTTATACATTCAGGGGTCGTTTGAATATCTAAAAATATATTGTTTGCGAAATATATTACGAGCATAATACATTACTACGTAATACATTATCTGCAAATGGATTGTACTGTTTGGGTAGTATTTAGATGTAACTTGAGAAATACATTTCTATTGTTTGACTTTGTATGAAAGAAATATGAGAAAATGCATTACCATCCAAATATCAAAAATATGGCTATATTTGACTAACATGATTAAACTTTGGTTTCAACCTGATAAGTTATTGGAATAATATGATTGAAATAACATGATTTTATTGTGATAAGCCTTATTTTTATTTATTTTTTATAAAAGTCTTTCAAATATCACTCTATATATAATTTCAAGTAAGCAATAAATTTATAATACCAAAATCAAAATCTTTATGATACAAATTAAAAAATGAAAAAAAGTTTGATTAATATACTAGAAAGTTTGGTAATTGCAGTAAAAAATTTTGAAGCATTCGAAGAGACAAAAGAAGTATCTTATTTCAATTGAGCTTTTACTAATCTCTTATGAAGATTATATTGTACGAAATTTTTTTTACGATTGTGTTGTGTAATTTATCATCAATTATCAATTATTATTTTTATTAATTTTATTAGTTTTATTTTTATGCAAGAGTTGATGGCAAGCTACAACCCCAATTGGAGATAGAGGGATATAGAAAGCATTTTATTATGATTGCAGTAGAAAATTATCCTTCATCGAGTTCTACAACTGTTAAAATCAATTTAGATTTCCCTTTACTTTCACTCACTAATTATTAAAAAAATTTATTTTTATATGGGGGTAAGACAAGAGCTACAACCATACCCTAATAATTATAACAAGTATAAGGCAGAGAGACGCACCTAAAGATTTCAACCTCGAAATCTCTTTCTATTTCCTTATTAATTAAAGTGTACCCAAATAGTATAAATGTCATATTTCCTTGTAATTTATTGTCACATAATATATTTCTACGTACCCAAATGGCATAAATTCAGAATACATGATAAATTTTGACAAAATTCTATATTGACTGTCTACCTAACACAACCTCCATATGTTCATGGGATGGGTTAAGGAAAAGTTATAAGTATCACTAATTTGGAGAATACTAGTGTAAATTAGAAGCTAATTTAAACCAACCTTGATAGTCCAAAATAATGACTTTGGACAGTCAAGGTCGGTGTCAACCTGAGTCAGGGAAAACCCATTTGCAGCCCGTGTTTTTTATCCATGAATCCTAATTATGAGAACATAAGGGACTGTATCAGGAAACATCTCGTCATAGAACTGTAATCACCATCATATCGACTATGGAGAGTGGGACCCTCCAGAAAATTATTGACCCAATTCGTAGGACCACCACTCTCCATCACTTCCCTTCCATTTAATGGAATGTCAACGATAGTATACCTCTGGCCTGGATCGCAGGTACATTACCCTGATAAAAATGAACTACCAGGACGAAATCCCAAAAATTACAGAAAAGATGCCCAACATGTAGAACAAAGACCAATATGTATGATAAGGTGTGATCAATGCACGAATCATTTGGGAGCCAGAACCAGAGCACATGCAGGTATAGGGGATATATTATATATTCGCTATCAAACTATCATAAAGGCTTCCCTAATAAGATTAGTGCAAATCCAAGCCAGAACAAAAGAAAAACCAAAGTTTGAACTAAGAAGCCTCAAGAATGAGGGCACAATTGGCTTCTGGGAGAACCGCCGCTTGCAGAATCTGTAGCACTTCCCAATATTGCAGCACAACTTGCATTATAAAGTGGAAGTGGTAGCTTCCATGTGGAGCCATGGAAGCGGCCACCTACTTTGGGAAGGCCAGACTTCCATGGCCACGCAATCCCAAAATCAAACAAAATTTCTTGCTCCTTGGATGACAAGTGATGAGCAGCATGTGTAGCCAGGAACTTGGACGCACCAAATCAAGTGGCACGAATAAATAGGTGCAATAGCTGGAAAAACTGCACCTCAATTCTCTGTACCGTTTCTCTGAGCAATGTCGATGTAATTTACATGATGGAGAAATCCAAATGGCCAAAGGATCACATCAATTGAGCTTGGCACGTTTTGCATTGGATTGCTGAAGCCACTCAAGGCATTCTTCATGTGTAGCGGATGGATGGGCAAGCTGCCATTTTACCACCCTTCCTTGCTGTAAAAGAAGAAAGAATGGTTTAAGTTCAGAACCTTTTGCTTGGTTTAGTGAGGAGACAGTGGGGCGCTTACCCATTCCCTAACTTGGGGGCCCCCAGTTTTAAACCTCAAGACTTCCATGATAGCTTTTCCATCCACCAACGGTTTCACTTCCCACACATTCTCAAGACCTGTAGTCCACAAAAATAAATATTCAACCTTCTACAGAAGCATGTTGGCTGTTAAAGTACTTTCAGAAAAAACACATGCAGAGAGCCTTAAGAAGAGAGAAGACCATTAAATATACAAAATTAGGAAAGGAAAAAGTTTACAAGGCATCAACCTCATACTACAGATGTAATTGATCAACTCGGCCTCAAGATACATGAATACAAAAAAAACAAGGATTTCAGTAACCAAAAGCAGTGCATCTTAATATATTATCTTGACCTTCCATTTTCAAGATTTTCAAGTGCTCATATATATCTACACGATCTTCAAAAATTAGGAGTAAAAATAAATTTTTAGGCATCATAGGAGTTTTCAGCACAGAAACTTCGTCTTCAAGTGAGATTGGACAGGCCCTACTTCGATTCTTTAAGGTTCACTCCTATATATGCCGCACCCAATGTTATGATGTTGCTCTGAATGTAGCAATCAGCTCAACAAGCTCATGTGGATGTGATTAAGTGCAGGGTGCAGTTTGCATATCAAAAGTAAAGAGCACCTTCAAACAGTGTCGAAAAATGTGGTTTCAATACTGGAAATCTTTGTGATAGCTTTAAAATACATTTTCATATCTAATTATAAAATTTAAAACTTCAAAAATAGTGTAGATCGAATAGATGTATGAAAACTTGAAATCCTTGAAAATTGATGCTCCAAAAATGCATTATAAGATGCACAATTTCTAAAACTTAAAAGCCATTTTTTTCTCATGCCCATGCATCTTGAGGTCGAGATGAACAATTCGAAAATATATTTGGACATCAAAACAACCTCTTTTAGTGAAATTTTTGAGGTGCGCTCCAATTTGATTGTTTAGAGCCTTGCACTTAAGTAAACTTTTTCCTTAAGTGCAAGCAGCATGTATATTTTATTTTTTGATACTTCTTTTCTATAGGTTCTGTTAGCTCAATTTCTTCTGCATGTTCCTTTCTTAGAAGCATATGAAGGAGGTTTAATAATGAAATCCAAGAGTTGAGATGATGAGTCCCAATCCATAAGGGTTAAGTGAACAGCCCCCATATTTGAAGCTGGCGAGGTAACAGATGCACTGTAATATAAATTGTGGATGCCGATGTCCAACTCATGGAAAATGCTTGAGAAATTCCCAATATACTCCTAAATTTCAACAAATTCCCACGAGACACACTCTTCTATATAGTCAGATAAGTCAAAAGTTCAAAAGGGATGCTATATCTGGAGACACATGCTAGCAGGGGGTGTGTTCATGTGATCATAAATGTGAACAATTGTTTTGTCAAATGAGATAAGGATATAGAATAGGTACATCTATCAATTCTTCAACTTCATAGTCTTACATTGGGTTGGACTTAATCATATCCCCTTAGGAATATTTTGGTCTTTTGGATCAAGGCTGCAGTTTCCAAATATTCAGTCTCCAATTCTAGGACGAACACAGACACCATAATTCAACAAATGACCTGGAACTTGACAAGAACAATTTGTTTCTCACAATGATGAACCAGCAGATCAGAGCTGTAATACTGGAGACAGTTTTATCAGAATTTCATGCAAGGCTTGACCAGAAACACTGGTTTTCATTTCAAATGACCTGGAACTTGACAAGAAAAATTTGTTTCTCACAATGAAGAACCAGCAGATCAGAGCTGTAATACTGGAGACATTTTTTTATCAGAATTTCATGCAAGGGTTGACCAGAAACATTGGTTTTTATTTCTCCATTTTTCTTTTCTCTTTTTATTGAAAGACAAAAGAACCATATTGTGGGATGATATGTTTTGAAAGTTCCAGGTTGGGGAGAACCTGGTGCAGTCATGTTTACTTGTTAAAATCTCAGGGTTCCATATAGTGACTTATTAAAATCACAGGCTTCTGACTCATACACGAATGTCATTGGCAAATATTTGGTTCTATTGGTTATACTTAAAATTATGCTGCATCAACTATTGTTCAATATCTACGATTTGATGTCCATACAAACAAGGGACAAGAAGGAATATTACTACAGTGAAAGCAAAGTCAGTCATAAATATCAGGTCAAAAACTTTACTACAAGACTATAACTAATGTTTAGAATTGAGCAAGAACTTATCTTTGAATTCTAAAGGAATGAATCCACAAAACAAAACAAGAATTTGTGAAGTGAAAGATGCTGCTGACAAATGAAAAGGTTACACTAGGTTACCAAGCTCAACAATAGATTCCTCAATCCTCCTATATAAGGCAACTCTTTGATCCACTTCAGAGTATCCATCAATAGAAGATCTGGTGCAATCAGGAACAGTGCACCTCAGCAAAGTTGATATCAATAAAGCAGCTCGCCAGTACTCTTTGATATCCCTCAAGATCAAACCTGAGCAAAATGAAAAAGTGAAGGTGCTATTCCAATGGCATCTCCAAGAATGTGGGTAATGTTATCGAAAGGAACTTTCTTTTTGAACTTCATCACTAAATTAGATGAAATTGACAATAGAATAAGAATGATTTCATGATATCAAATCCTATATATGTTTTGAAGTTCCAAAAAAAAATTCGAAAATGAAGAAAGTGAATAGCGAATGATGATATTTGCATTTGATTTAGACCCCACAGTAGTTAGCCATGAAAACCCCATCAAAGCCCAACCTGATAATAAAGGAAGGTAAAATAAGCATCTGTTTCCAATAAATACAGACAGATCACTGTAACTACAGATCTAGAAGCCATCAGACAGACGAACCTGCAAATATTCTCCTCCTCGAAGCCAAAGGTGCAGTGATAAACTCTTCATCCAATGCTGAAGTGCCGTCCTGGAAGTCCTCATTTGATGTTAACAAAGGAATCAAGCCAGTGAATCTCTCTGCTGCAGTGTGTAAGCTTATAACCTAGCAACCATTAACAAATTTACACAAATTATCTAAATGAATAGCAGAATCCACCAGAATAAAAAAATAGAAAGTAAAAACTTCCTGTAATTATCATGTCTGAGCCATTTTAAAAGAAAAAATTGCACATCCCATTGAAATTGGCGAATGCATAGGCCAAATAATAAAGCACGTAATTCCAAACTTACCATGTCAGCATAAGATGCTTTAAGTTTCAGAGAATTGTGAAAGATATTATTCACAACAGGAACCTGCAACATGTCCCGTGATGTAAGAATGCATATAACGGAAAAACTTGTAGAATAAAGCCCTGGATTGAATACTTGCATTATGGCAGCAATATACAACATAATCTCATCTCTTCAAGTATTTTCATCTTTAAGGGTTAACCCCTCCCTCCTTCCATCCCTCTAGTGTGTAAGTACGCAAGGAGAAGACTTTGGCCGATAATTCGAAAGTGAGACTTTCTAGAAGAGCAAGTCAAAGATGGACAAAGAAACAGAAAGCGATGAAGCAATAGGGAAAACTTAAGGATGTAGATAAGGTTGAGTTTTGAATGTTAGGAGATGGGAGAGTCAAAAAATTGCAGGAAAGTGTTTTGCTGAAAAGTGTACCAAGGAATTTTTTAAAAGAGAGATGACTCAAAATGCAAAGACTAGAGAAAGCACAAAGAAGAGCGAACAAATTCACTCAAGATCGCATAAGAATCGAGAGCTTTTCGTTAAAATGGGTTCCAGAGAGCTCACAAGCAATTTGTTTCATTTATATCCTGTTAGGATTTGTGCCCTTTAAAGGCCATCAGAGCCTAAAAATAAAATAAATTATAGTGTTTTATGCACTTTTGTAGGAGTGTACTACGGTTGTTTGACATAGGGTTGGGCAGTCTATAGACCAGGTCATGCCTAAAATCCTTTTCCTTGGGCATACACAGCACTGTTTAGGATTTATAAAAGCTTCATCCTTTATTGAGATCAAAGAAATGCCCAGGGACATTGTTCGGAAGCCATGAGAGCTTCGCGGTATCCTCTCTACGGATGTAAGCTTCTGAGTGCAAGGGCCAAAACAAAACTTTTGCACGATAAATACATATAATAGCTGCATTTTTGGGAAGCATCCCTATAGAAGTACATGTGTACATGTGCATAGAAAGAGCCCCCCTTGCATTGTAGCGATATGTGCATCTCTGACTTGCTCTTAGGAGAGGAGAGGGAGAGGGGGTCCTATAATTCACATATTGGGACAATGGTTCCACTGTTTATTGACTAACATTGACAGGCCAATCATGAGCCTCTATCCATGACTGTAGATCATGAGTCCCATTGGATTGGTGTGAGAAGACAGTTGTGGATCATGAACCCTAGCATGGGTGGAGTGCCTTTACAGTCACTTGTTTTTGACCTATTAGTATCAATCCATGTTTAGAAGTATTAATGTGTGTATTTTAATTTTTTTAAGAACCTCAGAAATATTGTTTTTAGCTTTAGCTATGATTATTTTCTTTTTTTTAGAAAACTCTACCTTAGCTGGCCATTACCGGTCACGTCGATTCTAAGCCCACGTAAAGGAGGAGGTTTGTGTTAGGTAGGTAACAAAGTAAAACTTTGCCGCAACTTACCATGAATCCTGAAAGCAGAACATGATTCATATAGCCAAACCCAAATAGTTGGGATATTGCTATAATGGTAATTTTTTTAGAAATTTTTCAAAATTTTGTTTTCTGCTACGAAAAACCTAAAAAGGGTAAAATTGATATTTTACGATTTAGTAGGAGGCAGATTTTTATGTGGGATCCACATGCAAGGGGGAGGGGGGGGGAAGGAGGCAGGAGCATGGCCAAGGCCCCAGCTCCCATACGTGGGTAGGCTACATAGGATCGAAAGTGGGGCTCACAATGGACCACAAGTCCCACACACAAAGCAAGATGCCCCTAATTAAATATAAAATATTATTTTATTATTTGAGGAGTCCAAATAGCATTAGGAGCCCTATTTCGATTAGCATTCCTACAGGGACTAGGACCTGTAGTTTTATCAGAATTCCTATTAACATATTAATTGTTTAAAGAGTCCTGATTGTATTAGGAGTCCTATTTGGATTAAGATTCCTACTTGGACTAAGACTCCAAGTTTGATCAGAATTGGTAATAAATATTATTCGTACAAAGATCCTAATTGTATTAGGAGTTCTATTTTGATTAGGATTCCTACATGGACTAAGTCACCTACTTTTATCAGAATTCAAATTAAACTAAAAGTCTATCTTATCTAGAAGATGATAAGGCTCAAAAGATTCAAGAAGGTTTCTAAAATTCTCCCTAAATCATGATAGTTGATTTCAAGATCAGATGACTCAAATTGTTTCTCTCTCACCTCACAGATCACCTAAATATCTTTTAGATAATGTTGATTCTTGATCTGAATGAAACACCCTAGGTCCTTTGAGGCCTATAATTTATATAAGGAGGGGAAACCCCCCCCCCCCCACACCCATTTCCCACACACTTCAGCCCTAACCTACTCTCTCTCTCTCTCTCTCTGCCATGTCTCTCTCTATCTCCCGCTCTCCTCTAGGTGGCACGCCACTGCCATAAGGACATTGGCTGGCACACCACTCAAAAAAGGAGAGAGAAGGGGACACGCCAAGCCCTAGACTAAGCTACAGGGTGCCACTCGAGGGAACGCCCCAGTGATTGAAAGGGTCCAAGAAACCCTAATCATGACCCATACTCTCAACCTCAGAGATTTCATATAAGGATGTTCTAAAGATGTTGTCCAGTTCAGATCGATGAATTCAACAGGATCTAAAAATCAAGTGCTCCATCAGTCAAGTCTTCGGGTATGGGGTGTGCCAAGTCCTAAGGAGGTAACCATTTGCAATATTTCAGTAAGTCATCCCAATTTTATTTATTTTGTTGTTCCTAGATACTATTTTTTTCTTAAGTTGTAAGTTTGAGTTCATATTTAAATAAAGTTTTTCTTTTGTTGTAAGACGTAAAGATACTAAACTGTAGTAGATTTATTTCTGCATTGCATTGTGGCAATTGCAAGTAAAAATTCCAACTATTAATAAATAAAACAAAGAAAATTTTTGATTTTATACTCTAGAATTCTACACAGTCACATCTTTCACATCTAACTTCTATAGAAAGATGGAATACCTTTGATACATAGCTACAAAGGCATTCGAGAATTCAATGAGAGAAGAAAAGATTGCAAACACTGGAGTTGTAGGCTGCGACTTTCTCTCTAGAACTCCCTTGAGCATTGTTCTGAAATTTGTGGTATAGCATATTTATACAGTATCTAATAATAGTTGTATATATTAAATTTCAATATAGTCATACAGTATACTAAAGTAAAATATATTATATAGCATAGTAAGTAGTCCAATATCATAGTATAATATTGTATAGCAATGTGGTATGCTATAGGAGTACATACTGTATTGGAATGATAAGTGCTCTTACGACCTCGATCTTTAACTAGATGGAGCTTGGTCCTATATAATTTACCATTCATACTGATTAAGTTTGGATCAAGCTTATCCAAATATTGTGATTTGAGATTCCTAACTTTCCGCTGATGCATTCCAGCCATGCACAACAAACTTTAGGGCAGGCATTTCAGCATAGTTTGTTCGGAAAAATCTGCTTCGCTGCTTTTGGACATTATGGGCTTAGGCTGCCATTTTCGAAATTGAGGTCATAATAGTAATTTCAATATCAGCGAGACTATCTACGCCTATGTGAAGTCAAGGTATCTTTAAAGGTTGTCTTTTGTACAAGCTTGTCTTAATATATTTTGTCTAGGGCAAAAGTGTCATGTGCAGGTCTAGTTTTAAATAGTAGTACTAATTATATAAGAATTAGGATTAAGAGGTTTAACCGAAGTCTACAAATCGGGGTTAATTAAAGGCTTTGGTTCATAGTTGAATTATTATTTCAGAAACTTCAAATTCTCTAAAGCCATTGAAGCCAGGACTGCAAGCTTCCTTTGTAATTTCAATTAATTTATCAGTTTTTTAGGCGATCTTGAATTTTTTGGTATGAATTTATATTTAATTACAAAAACACCCTAAAATGGACCATCTATGCAACTTACCCCCACCCCAATCTTTTCTCACTTTTTTCCCCAAAACAACCTTTCCTCGCAAAAACCCCCCAAGGTAAAAAGTTGTTATTTTTTGGACGGAAATGCCCTCTGGTACAAACCAAATCAATTCACGGGTCCCAAGTAGCGTACTACCGGAGCGCGTCTTTGCACTGCCGGAGCACATTCTCATAATGCCAGATCGTTGTGGCTCAGACCTGCATTGCCGGAGCGCACATTTTGAATGCCGGTACGCTCAATTAGAATGCCAGAGCGCTTGTTTATACTGCCGGAGCGTTGTGGCTCCAGAGACTACATTGCCGGAGCGGAATGCCAAAGCGTGCCTTTGCACTACCGAAGCGAGTTCTCATAATGCCGGAGTGATGCGGCTCAGACCTGCATTGCCGAAGCGAGTGTGAAAACAGAAGAGAGAAGGCCGTGTGAAAACAAACAAGGGTAGTTTAGTCTTATTGAATGCTACTTTTGGATTGGAGGGGTTATTTGCGAGGAAAGGTTGGTTGGGCGAAAAAAGTGAGAGAAAAGATTGGGGTGGGTGTAAGTTGCATAGATAGTCCATTTTAGGGTGTTTTTTGTAATTTTTTGGTATTCTGGTATCAAAACAGGTCGTCGCTCCCAAGGCGCTTGAGATCCACTACAGTTGTGCGTGATGCCAACTAAAGGAAGACGTGGTCATGCCCAACGTGGTGGAGCTATACCAACACAAGAAGATTATGAAAGTCTTATGATGAGGTTTGAGGAATTGACGCAACATGTGGGGTGCCACACCCACTTAGAACGAGCAGATGCCATCGTTTACAATAGTGTTGGATCAGAAGCCGAGAAGGTAAAACCGTTCAATAACCAAAGAAGAGAAAACTCTACATTAGAATATCGTTTAGTGCAAGCTTTACAAGGATCAGATTTGGGTATCTGAGTCAACATTCCTAATTTTTCAGGTAGATTGCAACCCAATGATTTATTGGTTTGGCTCGCTGGTGTGGAAACATTCTTGGAATGGAAAGAATTCTCATAGGAAAAGAAAGTCAAAGTCGTGCCCATTTGGGTGAAAACTCAAGTCCTAATCTGGTGGAAACAGCAACAGGTAATTTGGGTTCCAGGTTCATGAAGGAAAGGACAAAATCTTGACTTGAAGGAAGACAAAGTCATGTTTGAAGGAGAAGTTTGTCCTTGCTGATTATACACAGAACCTATATTAGAGATTTCGATAAAGAGAATTGAGTGTGCAAGAGTAAACTGACAAGTTCTATCTCTTAATAGGCCGAAACGAGGTCAAAGAGTGTGATGATCAACTTGTTGTGAGGTAATAGGATTTTTAGTCTTGAAGAAGCATATCAACTAGCACTAAAAGTTGAAACAAAGTTGAGAAGAGGCTCTTTAAGTAGGTCATTTGGTAAGGGAACATCTTCAGCACAAAATGGGCATGTTGCAAATCAAAAACAGAAAGATGTGTTTGACTCAATTTCTCCACCTTGATACATCAAAAGGCAAAACCCTAGCAACAAATAAGCCACTTCAAATTTGTGAACAAAGGCCTTAGTGTTTTAATCATAGCAAGCATTGGTATCGATCCATAGTTACCCAGAACGGGAGCGATAAGAGATCTGTGACCGGAGCAGGAGCGCGGAGTGAGCTATGCTAAAAGTCCCATGGTCGGGGGAATGAGGTCCGTATATGGTCAGGTAAAAGGTTCGAGATCACTGACTTTCAGGGAGAACGTTTTAAATCTGCGAAGGAGGAGTTTCTTACTATATGGGATTGATTTCTGCCATGCTTAGGAACGAGGTTCCTGAAGTTCACTTTTCTCATGTATTGTAATTTGGGAGCGAATTCAATGAACAATATGTTGAACTTTTCCCAACTTTACAAAACCAAGTATCAATTAAACAAGAATCATGCCATTGAAATTCTCTTTGAATTGTTGTTGTCATTGGAGTATGATTTCATATGAGTAGCAATACTTAAAATTCAATATGGTGTACCTAAGTCTTTTGGGCACAAAAGGAGCTTTGTGTCCTAGACCTCGGCAATCTCCAGCTCTCTCTCCCCCTCAATCTCTCTCATCAAGTGGTGAAGATCTCTCTCTCTCT